AGCCCCTAATCCTATATTTCCGTGTCATTTGGTGACTACATCCACACTAAGCCCCCTGAAATTCAGGAAAAAAGTTTTTTCTTTCATATAGCATAAAGTCTAGAAAAATTAGAGCACTGATTCCTTCATATGGTAGAACATATAAATCTACCTAGATAGGTACAAAATACTGGAGGACTCGTATGGTTTTGGTGAATGGGAAGTACTAGTAAGGAGAGAATCGAGCTGGCTGGCGGCACGGACACAGCAGGGCTGCTCCCTCCACACAGTGCTGGCTGTCAGCCATTCACAAACTCAGATTCCTCACTGAAGAAAGCTGATTTAAGACCTTGACTCACAGTTGAGCAACGAAGGCTAAACTAACTTCCTACAGAAGACCTGGGTGGGGAGTTCCTCCTGAACCCGCATTTTCACCTGCATCTCTCGCATCTGTGTATCAGGGAAGAGTTTACTACAGCTCGGTGGCTGTATCTACAGCTTGGGTTGCCTCATGGTTTCTATCTAAGACCTTCTTTTCAGTTGCCTGTAACACAGGCAAATTCTAATCATCCAGGTCATGCTTTTCCGTGATAAGGTTGTCTCAAGCTGGTTGATTGACCTGTCTCATTTTCAGTGCGCTGTGGTTCCGACACCTACCAGGCAGAAGTAATACAGCGATACGCTTGTTCAATCCCGGTGAAAGAAAACACTCCTACCACGGAGGTGCTCCAAGAGCTGTGAGGTTTGAAGAGGGGGCAGAGCACAGACACTTGCCGAGGGGAGGCAAAGGCCCGTGCACCTCGCTGGCGTGATGCAGACAGCGCTGCCCAGCTGAAGCCCCAGGGATCTGAAGGTCAGTGGCCCCAGCCATGGGCTGCCTCATCAGCCTCCTCTGTACTGATCACAAAACCAGCAGAAAACTACTCACTGTCACTGTTGAGCTAGTTTTTCATCAGCTCGTCGAGCTCGATTGCCTTGGGGAAGGGTCAAGCAGAAGCCAGTGCCAGCACAAGGAAAAGGAGAGGGAGAAAGGGGTGGAACTGCAACTCTAGAGAAAGCAGACTAACTCTTGAAATGCAGGGCAATTTCCCTTGATTAGGGCATCTAGGCTGTGGACTAATCCATGGGGTGAGGAGGAAGAACCTAGCCCATATAAGGACAAATATGCAGACAGAGCAGTGGCAATGTGATGAATAGCTCTTTCAGGCTTTGTAGCGCCTTGAGAGAGGCTGTAGTTAGGGCTGTCTGGAAGATGATGAGTGCAAATATTTCTGTTTAATGAGCATGCACACTCATTTGCTCATTTAGGAGAAAGAAGTCATAAAGGAAAGCAATAAGCAGAAACAAAACCAGAAATTGCCATGCTTCTCCTGTTCATAGCTTTTACAGTGACCTCATGCCTCATGAAGAGGTGCAACTAATAAACCACTGGAGTGCCAGCATGTTTCAAGGCTGAGAAATAAGCCTCCCTTACTGCCCTTCTCTTTTGTCCGTAAGGCCTTGTCTAGGATTCACTAAACAACTGAGGTACATGCTTCTCTTTTACGGATGCATCTGTGTTTAAAAAGCAGCGTGTCCATTTCGGCAGTTTGTACCTCCTCTATCATTACAGACAGTCCCATTCAGTCCCTGTGGTATCTCCAGAAAGCACTCATCTGGGCATGGAGGTTCAACGTCCCAGAAGACAGAGACACTGCCAGTGGAGCAAAAAGAGAGACAGACTGAGGTGCTGAACACCAAGGCCACACACAGCAAACCTGTGACATGTTGGGTGCAGCAGTTAGTAGCTGGCATGACATACACCTTCAACCACTTGCTCAATTTGTCTCCAAAAGAAGATCAGCTCAGCAAAAATCAACCCTGTTCCATGACAAACACTTCACCCCATGTGAACTTACAAAATACTGTTAGCCTGGAGACCAAATGGGGCCCATAGGCAGGACAATGTATATAAATAGCTAGGGAAGGCTGGCAAGGAAACAAATAAACAGGCTCTAATTTTCTCCTGCAAAATTAGGCAGCTTTCACACTGTAGGAGACTAGAAAGGTTGAGTTACCTTGACACCAGTACAGTCATTATTGGCTCAGGTTTTTGGGTGGGGTACAAGGCTGACATACCGGTTCTTGAGGGGGTTTTACTCTAGCACAGAAATCGGTAGGAAACTTTAATGCATTGTCTGCCTCCGTAAGCTAGCCCAAGTGTCTGAATTCCAGAACATCTGGAGACCAACCACGGTGACCACGTCGCCACACTGTCATGAAGGCTAATGAATAACCTCACTGTAATTAAATGGTGACCTCAGATGCTCTAAAATGAAAAACAAACAAACCCCAGACAATGTGTACAGCCTGCATACATGCACTACCCAGACAGTGAAGTATTCCATATTCCTTCCTATCAAGCAACTTTTGACGTTCTTCATGCCCATACTTACTACGGTGGAGACCTCATGCTACAGACAACTCGGTGATTTGGGGAAATCTTGCAACAGGCCTATGCATCTGAGGGCTAGAGAGCAAATTACAGGCTCTTAATGTTTTCCCAAATATTTTCATATATGCTCTGTTATTATCTGTATTGCATTACAGACTATCATGAGCCATTTGACTTTAACAACAGGCGACTTAAATGGTACACTGTAGATTGGAGTGCATTCGTACAAGGAGACGTCGGCAGTAATAACCCAACACACTGCGCTATGCCCTGCAAACCTGTTCTCCTGAGGTCAGTGGAAGCTCAGACTGCTGAGGACTTCACAACCTCAAGTATCTAAGGGCTTACCTCAGGAGCCCTTCTATATACCTGGAACCTGTCCACATCACCGTTTTCCTAAATTCTCCCAAGGATCCGAAACAACACACAGTACTCTCCCATCTTACTGCGTCCGATTATTAGGGGTAGATTACTATGAAACAGAGATGATCCTTTAAGCAAGTGGTGAAGGGGAGTTGCGTAGTAGTGGAATAACACACGTCCCTGGCTGTGTCAGAGTTGTTAGCTGTGGTACCAGGTCCAAATAAGTATTGGGCCTGATGGATTTGTCATCTCATTTAGCTAGGCCATGGCTAACATACAAAACTAACACATTGCCATCAGTGAAAGTTGGCTGGTGACACTTTCAGGAGAGTCCCTGGTCTGACTGACCGCTGCTAGCTGGAAATGCACACACGCAGAACTGTGGGGATGTGGGTATCTTGTTTCAAGCAACTGTGGAAAACATCTGTAAAGGGAGCGGTGTTCTCTTTTTATAATGCACATTATTGGTCAACAAAACCGAAAATCCCAGTTGCATTTTCACCCTGTTACTGAAACTGTTTTCTGTCCTGACTTGTCTGCATCACTGTTAGAAACTATTGATACCTGTTTTGAATACCAGAAGAGCGACATTTCACTAGCACACGAAAATAACTCAAGTACAGCAGAATCTTGGTAAAATACGGAAATAAGTGCTTTAAGTGCTTTGACTGCTATGATTTGGTAACAGCAGCACTGCTGTAAATCAATAATCATACCTAAGCTTTTAGGTATTTCTTTATTATGTGGACAGTAAATCAATGCATAAAGTGAGAGTACACACACATGAGGATCCCTGTACCAGTTCAGATCTTCATGGTCTAAACTCTTTGATACAAGATTCTTCTTCTCTCTTTCTGAAGTGGTGCCCGCCACTTCAAAAGGGTGTAACATACATTGCACATGGGAATTTGCAAATAGTATCCACGCAAAGAGAACATCTGTTCTTTTTACGCTTTCATACCAGGCACCCAGAAGAAACCTACTCGCTTTGCACCACCTCAGAGAAGCACTTTGATGCAATGAGTTTCTTTTTCCCAACTCTGGGATTGAGATGGGAATCTAGGTGGGAAACGGGAATCCGAGGCGAAGGCTGCACACAGCACAGCAAAATACTGCCATACAATAATGAAAGCGAAACAACCCCCCCCTCACACAGCCCCGAATCACATCCCATATTATTATTTTGGAGTCCCTTGTAAGTTGTTTTTTCTTCTGCTTTTCCCAAATAATGTAACATCCTCTCTCTTTGGGTGTCTCCAGTACTTTAATATCTGGTGGGTATCTGATTCTGAACTGAAATTACGCATCACCAGGTACAGCTGCAAAAGCACAAATGCGGGCGGTAAAAGCTGAATAAGCCAAATTAACTGGGCATGGCTTAAAAAAAAGTACTGCTACGTGGCTATTCCTTTTTTAGCAGGTAAGCAAAAATCAAGGCGTCTCACAGATGCAAACCCTAGACTGGCTCAAGAAGTACTAACAGTTTCAACACGAGACATGCAGGAGTGAGGATGCGTGTTCGTTTATTACGGAAAGTGCTGCTATCTGAATGCTTTCGTGTTGGGGAGGGATCGATAACTGCCAAGTTCTCTTAAAAATACTGTAACAGGTGTTTCCTCTCCAGTTGGTCTACACGTTATCCCTTTCCTTGCCCAAAATCTGTAACACCTTCACGTCCTATTAAAATATTTTCCGGGATTTGTTTGGCACGAAGGCGACCGATGCAAAACCGATAGGCTGGATCTCTGGCTCACTTAAACGACTGCTAGTCCTGTCACCTGAGCTGGAATTAAGCTGAGTTCCAGCAGCTGGGCAAGCGATTGCGCAAGCGGGCGGACCCGCCACGTGGGAAACAGTCCCCGATTCCCACAGAAAACCTACCTCTCACCCGGGCAGACGCGTTTGCCGGGCTCCGCGGCAGATCCCGGCTCCGGAGCGAACTGCCCGCCCCTCCGCCGGCAGCCTGGGCGGGAAGCGGAGACGCGGGCTTTCCCCTTGGCCTCGCGGAGCCGCTTGTTACCTCAGAGAGACTCGGGCAGCCCGGGCCGCCTCAGCCT